TTTTTTTTCTCGAGCTACAAAAATCAGGCTGATGCAATGGCAGATACTATGTAGATATATAAAAGTTAGCTTTACAACATGTAAAACCTGATAAAGTTCTTAAAAAATCTAAAGAACATTCCCTGAATAAGAGCAATCACACGACAATTCAGTCCTCTCTAAGTATCGTACTTTGATCGTAGAACGCATCAAACAATTTCTTTTAAGGGAATCAAAATTTTCTAGAGTAATATGTATAATCAGTGATATATTCTCATGAATGTGTGGGTCCGTCATGGTACCAGCCTGGATCCGGCCAATCAAATCATGTGATTCCGTAGAGTCTAGACACAGACATTTCTCTTCCGCATCCGTACAGATGAGCTACTAAGATAGATCACAAAAAGTACGGAGTGGGCGTTAGAGGTGGGATTACTCTCTCGGAATCAGGCACTGCCTGGAACAGCACGGGTGATCTCTGATCCACTGTCGTGAACTGCATGATACTAGCTATGTTACCACATCGATAACAATAATTTGGGGCCGACCACACTGTGACGAGTTTGTCATTAAACATGTACCTATAACCTGCAAGATAAAAATATGCGTCATCAATACATACTTCCGAGATATTTAAAAAAAATCTGCGACAGAAATATTTGAGCAAAGACATACCTTCCTGAACTAATTGGTGCGCCCTACAGATGAGTTTAAGATCATTCACTTCCATGAACATGTAAGTCACTTTGCTGCCAAACAGCCAGCCTGCACCACGCGGACTTACTGTCCATGTTTCTACATCTTCTGGATCGGACCAGACCAAATCACAGAAAGCACCTGTAATATGGTAATTAAGCAAAGATATTTTATTATTATTGTACAATATACATTGTATAACAGTAAATATCCAGTCATGTAACTTTTGCAATGACATATCACTATATACAATTAATACCTTTGTGTGGAATCTCTTGATTCCTTTCAATCGTTCTAATTTGATCTAGTGTTCTAATAGCTGGAGACAATCCACCGTGTACACAAAGAACCTGTTCATCAATTAACTAAAACAGAATTTTATTCGAGCGTAATCAGAAGTAAAGTTACAATTTTTTTTTAAATCTTTTATACAAATACTCACGGCAGCAACTGTGAGCAAGTCAAATACCCTACAACAGTACTTCCACGCATTAGCATTGCCGTACTTGTTTTGGCATTCATCTAAAATAGAAAATGAAGAGACCAATGAAATCAAAGCTTTATTATACACAAATGTAAAAAAAGCTCAGAAAAGAAAGTATCGTTGCGCACTTACCGTAAAATCCATAAACGTGCGTGATTTGTCTAGATTCGTGATTACCACGTAGTAACGTTATCCTGTCGGACCATTTAGCTTTAAGTGTGAGCAGACGAGTAAACGTTTCTAAGCTATAGTAGCCCCGATCAACAAAATCTCCCAGGAATATGTAATTTGTATCTGGCACGGGGCCACCATTACGAAACAGTTCCTCTAAATCATAGAACTGTAACAGCATAAAAACATGAACAATCTGATGTATATTAATATCACGATTGTGTACAAATAACTATACAGCTACAAAACATTAAAATTGAAAAATTGTGAGGCAATAGATAATGGAAGACTAATATTGTTGCGACGCTAATTCGGAAGATTAAAATCCGCTAAAACTTTACGTTGATCTCGTAGCGGTGGGCAAGAATGCTCCGACTTTGAGGTTAGAGCGCACATCCGGAGACTCACCTGACCGTGAATATCACCGCATACCGTCACCGGAGTGGACACAGGCTGGATGTTGGACTCCTCCAGCAATAAATCACATACCAAGTCACAGAGTTTCTGTCGGTAACGGTAAAAGTTAACGTGATTATATATCAGGGAGAGGCGAAACGCATAGGGTGCAGTAAGCGAGTAACCTGATCGGCGCTCGTGTGATCGCGCGACCGTTATCGTGCGGGAAACGCGCCGACCGGCACGCATCACGCTATTTACCTTGAGATCATTCTCGGGCAAGTATTTGCATTCTTTCGCGATCTCTATCCATTTATCGATGTCTGACATTTTGGATTCGCACCGTAAGAAAATACCAACACTGATCGCGCCCCCATACAGCTACGTAGTCGTCGTCGATCGTCGTCGTCCGTGCGCGCCCGATGCTGCTGGATCTCGCGGAGAGAGACGGTAGCGCCGTAGCGCCACTAGCGCCAGACCAGACAGTAGCTGCGTTTTGCCGAACCTCCGCTTTAGCTAAGCTCTCTGGCTAAAGCCTTGTGTACATACACGATACTAGGGCCGGTATTCATTTTTAAGACCGTCTTAAGTTTAATCTTAAGATGTTATGAACCAATCACAGAGCCGTATTAGCGTCTTAAGACATTACTTAAGACGATCTTAAAGCTGGCCACACACACTTTTTCGTAACAGTAACAGTAGGATTTCGACCAATCGCGTTGCTCGATTCGAAAACGTACGGCCGTACGTTCCCGAATCAAGTAACACGATTGGTCGAAATCCTACTGTTACTGTTACGAAAAAGTGTGTGTGGCCAGCTTAAAGACTATGGCCGGTATTCATAATCAAATTTTATTTCAAGACCGTCTTAAGTAATATCTTAAGATGTTAATACGGCTCTGTGATTGGTTAATGACATCTTAAGATTGTACTTAAGATGGTCTTAAATATAAGAACCGACTATGAATACCGGCCTAGAAATCGGTCCGAGTTTCGGTTTAAAGTGTTTAAAGCCCGGTACAGAAAAGTAGCAGTTTCATTGGCTTATGCCCGGTGTCCACGATGCAAGAACTGTGTCCAAGTTTCGATTTAAGCCAATCAACTTGCAGCTCTTAGGGTAAAGTTAGGTCTACAATTCGAGTCGTAAAGTCATGAGTCATAAGAATTGACCAATCACAATCGAATTTGAGGAGAATAATTGACTGTGATTGGTCAATTCTTACGACTCACGACTTTACGACTCGCATTGTAGACTTAGCATAAGGCTACATCTATCGTAACGCTTTGATCGTGGTCGTAAGCAATGAAGTCGTCGTAAACCGTATATCTATGCCAATTTATCTATAAACACATTTTTCTTCGACGTTGCCGTATCGCCACTGACAAGAGGCGGGTGCCATTAATCAAAAAAGAAGACATTTTTCTTCGCACGTCGAGAAACCTGACAGGTTAGGTTAGGTTATGTGGTAACGCCAGACAAGCGTCGTAAACAAAAGAGTTCAAGCTGAATCAACTCATACGATGAGCTTACGATAGCGATTACGACGAGCGTTAGGGCTAAAGCACATATGACAGTCGTAGTCGTGGACGTAAGTAACGCACAAGCTTTGGCGTATTCTTTTTTAACACGCGTTAAAAAAGAAGAAACAAAAAAAAAATACAAGACGCTTTTTATAATAAATTTGGACTGAGGGTAGACATCGTTAAACAAGGTTCCGGATCATCTAATGACGGAAATACTTCTCGACGATTTTTTGCTGATCCAAAAATCACAGCAGAAATAACTGGAGTTGACGAGGAATTGATCAGAAGATAGATTTTCCACAATATTACAAACGATTAATTGTGGTGAAGAAATAAATTCAGAAAAATTCGGTTCTTATGCGTACAGTGTTTTAAACATTCGAAAGTCCCTCGATAACATTATTGTATACAAGTCTGGTAGATTTTCCGTATCCGTTTGCAAAGAGCATCGGCAAGCCCCCTGCAAAAAATGCCCGTTTTCGGTACCTCGATTTTTTAAACTTTTTTTATGCCAAATGGTTACTTATGATGACCCAATAATTCCTGCAAAATTTCAAGATGAGCATATGTCCTGTTTAAGAAATATAGGGGGTCAAAGTTGACCGCATGTCCAATCAAAAAATATAACAGCTTCACATTTATGCTCCAATAATAATGTCCAAAAAATTTAGCCGAAATGGTTCTTTTAAGATTTTTGGCTGCTGATTACGAATCTGAAGTCAGATTTTAAAAATTCAAAATGGCGGATCTAATATGGCGGACGAATTTTTCTTAAATTTATCAGATTCACTTGAAACTCGTTACTCGGGGGTTTTTGGAGTCGCTGATTACGAAATTGAAGTCAGTTTAAAGAAATTCAAAATGGCGGATCCAATATGGCGGACTGATTTTTTTAAATTCAGATTTACTTTAAACTCGTTACTCGGGGGTTTTTGGGGTTCACCAAATACGAAAGAGATATCAGATTTTAAAAATTCAAAATGATTGATTCTATATATCCAACAAAGGCAAGATGTAATGCATAATCCAGCCAGCAAAGGCAAGATGTAAT